CAAGATGCTATATCAAATCCAAGTATTATTCTTATTATTCTATAAGAGTTAGATGTAAAATGTCTGAAGTCTTGGAACAACAGAACTTCGGTAATACAAGATAACTACAATGGACACAGATTCCATCCATTCAGTTGTTTCCTCCCTCTGTCTCATGCAGTTACTATGATTAGATTGCTGTTACTAGCCTTGCGGGATGTCACATTTTTTCAGTGTTTTCAGGGGTAGAAGTTTGGTCAAAAAGTTAGCGAAAGCTGCAAAACTTCTTCCTTCAGTTCATTGTTTTACACCCTATTAAAGTCTTTGTCATTCCTATCTTTCTTTGTATGTTGAATAGGGTAAACATTTTATTAAGAAACAGTTATTAAGACTGCATTAGCAAAAGCTATATTAGCAATAAAATAGGAGGAGAATAAGACATGGTGCTTTTCATAAAGAAACACAGGATATATCTTTGGATAGAAGCCCAGATAATTATTTAGTAGATTAATATAGGAGATGAAGGCTGCAAAACAGATGGGGTAACATAGTTGAAGTTCTGAAAATTCAGAGTTTCCAGATGGACAGAATTTGTCTTCTTAATTTTTCAGGTGATGGCTAATGCAATCCTTCGTGACCTCCTTTTGAATTAGAGTGAAGCGAAAAGCCCAGATAGTTCCAGTAGGTTGCGGTTATTAGTTGGCTACAATTAAAAGAATACAGTTCAGAGGAAGAAACAAAAGAGACAGATGTTTGGTTTGCATTGTGTGGTTTCTGCAGTTCCTCTTGTATTAAGTAAAAAATCATGTGAGTTAGTAATCAAGATAATGGTTCTGTTGAGTATCATATTGCTGTGACCACTCGGTGACCGTACTTGAAATGTGACTTTAGGCTAGTGGCATTGATGAAGCAATCGTAATTAACTGGGAAAATGAGTGTTTGTTTTAAAGATAGTCCTGACCAGTTGAAGGCACTGGAGAGAAAACCACCTGTGGAATACGATCTTAGTCAAATTCACATACAGTACAGTACAGTATCGTACCATTCTCCTGCTACTTAAAAGGATGAAACAATCTTTTTGATTGACACCATGGATTGCTGCCAATCCAGATAGCTGGCAGATGTCAGTTGCTTTCTGTGAACTAGTTATTGTACTTTTATGGAGTTTGTGATAAAATTCTAGTAAATGCCACATCCAAGAACATTTCTCATCTCTCTTTTTTTGTTGCAGGTACTGTCTCAGAACTCTCAAAATTTCAATCTGTGCGTGAAGCTTTTATTGCCAGCTGAATCATTTTATTCCACAGTTGTGTAAATCTGAAGTAGAGAGAAACCAGATACTGTGGGTCTTTTTATATACAAACAGCTTTGTGGGGCTGTTATATTTTGACTCCAGTTGGTTTTGATTTTAAAAGTTTACCAGTTAAACCAAACTTCTTTCATTGTGTTCGAGTTAAAGGGAATGGTTGCATACAATTCAGTATTTATTTTCAGAAATGCCTTTCGTTTTATTTATTTTAAAAAATCTTTTGATGTTACTGAGGTGCTATAATACAGGACCATAGAGAAGTTTTGAAAAAGAAATACGTATGTTCGCTGATTTTTGGTTGATGTTAATTCTATTTTCTCACTACATTTCTCATCCACCTTTTATTCTTAAATATAGCCAATTTTATTTTAAACCTGAGGCATAAGCATGATGACTCAGCTAGAGTACTGCGTTCAGTTCTGGGCACCACACTTTAGGAAGGATGTCAAGACATTGCAGAGGGTGCAAAGGAGATTTACCAGGAATGAGAGACTTCAGTTTGAGGAGAGGCTAGAGAAGCTCAGATTATTCTCCTTGGAGCAGAGAAGGTTAAGAGGAGACTTAATAGAAGTTTTTAAAATTATGAGGGGATTCGATAGGGTGAAGAAGGAGGAACTATTTCCACTGGCGGGTGGGTCGGTAACCCGAAGACACCGATTTAAAATAGTTTTTAAAAGAAACAGAGGGGATGTGAGGAGAAATTTTTTCACAGTGAGTTGTTTGAATACATTGCTTGAAAGGGTGCTGGAAGCCGATTTGCTAACAACTTTTAAGAGAGAAGTAGATAATTATTTGGGGAGGAAAAGTTTGAAGGACTATAGGGAGAGAACGGGGGAGTGGGATTGAATTGGATAGCTCTATTCAAAGAGCCGGCACAGACACGATGGGCTGAATGGCCTTCTTCTGTGCTGTATGATTCTATGCTTGTATGTTGATAGTGCACTTCGTTTTAGACAAAACCAAGTATAGAAACATAGAAAAAGGAGTAGGCTATTCAGCCCCTCGAGCCTGTTCCACCATTCTATAAGACCATGGCTGATATGTACCTCAAGTCCAACTACCTGCCTTTGCCCTGTATCCCTTAATACTCTTAGTGTTCAACTTGCAAACTTCTCCTTAAGGGGTCGGGTGGAAAACACTAGTGTAAGACTTTTTAGACACTTAAGTGATCAGCTTGTGATCTTGTGTTGATGGGGAGCTGGAGGTGGGGCAAAGCATTAGTGAGGTGCGATATAGCCGTGAGCAAGGTTCCAAAGGCTGTATGTGTAACACTCACAGGAGTCCCCACCTCTGCCATGTTCCACTGGTATGTGGATCACTGGAAGGATTGTGGTTGTGGACTGGATGTTTCCACTGCTGTAATGATAACTCGTCACTCCGAGGGGAAAGGACTCGGTGATAAGTTATCAGGATTGGCGAGTTTCCTTCAAATTTAAAAAAATAATACATTGCTCACTCAATCTATGACTGCTTGTGGGGACACTGCTGTGCGCAATTGGCTGCTGCGTTTCACCCACAAAATATACAGTCACTCCACTTTACAGTATATTCTGTGAAGTGTTTTGAGATGTCTTGAAGATGTGATGAGACGCTATATTAAATGCAAGGATTATTATTATTACTCTGACCTAACAAATATCTATCCATCTCCGTCTTGAAAATGTGGAGAGAGTTCCAATATAGAGGGTAATTAACAGCTGCAGTTACCAGGAAAAGGTGGTTGAGACCACAGCACTGGACTTATTTAAACAAAAGTTGATTCTATGATGTGAAGAAGTTAGGTTTAGTATTCTAGAGATGGATGAAGATCAAATAACAACAACAAATGCGTTGAAGGGTGAACTTTTCTTGTGATCTTCTGATCTCTAGCGCTTATTATTTTTGAAAACCGATCAGGTCACCTTGAATGTCCTGTTTTCTATCAAAAGGAGCCCAGTTGTTCTATACTTCACACTTACATGGGGCAATAATCTCTCTCCTATGGTATGTCCGTGCTCCACACATTACTCCAAATGATATGTAACTAGTGTCTTACACAATACCATCGGTATCTCCTTTGAAAAGTATTGTGTTCTTTTGCTATTATAACCTTGCTTTTACTTTTCTCACTGCAGGCACATGGTGTCCTGCTTATTTCAATTTTTTCCATAATAACAGCAATCTCTTTCCTGATTTATATAGTGCATGACTGTTATATTTATTATCCGCTTTCAATTTAGATTCTATGGTCTCGTACTAATTGTTTTGGAAGAGTTGGTCTCTGAGGTGCTTAGTGCTGAATCAGCGATTCCCAAGTCTCTTGTTCCCTGCTGACAGCAGCTTTAGTTGCATGTTTGACATCGCACAGCTTCTAAGACTCCATTTCTCTCTCCTCTGGTCAGTGAGAGATGCTTCCTGCTGATGAGTGAATTTGAACCCCAAAAGAATAACAACTTGCATTTATATAGTGTCCTTTATGTGGGGAGCACAAGGTAGAATTGTCACTCAGAAGAGTGAAGGTTGGAAGAAACTTTTTAATGTGGAGGGTTACAAGAACTTTGAATCCTTTGCCATGAGTGATTGATGAGCCTAAGGACATTTTAATAACATTAAAAGGGAATTGGATAAATATTTGAAGAGGAACAAAATAAGAGGGGCTGGAAATTATGATTGGAGTGGGTAGTTCAACTGGAGGAGCTTGTAGCAGCACAGATATAATCGGTGAATGGCTTCCTCCTGTGCTGTGAACTTTTTATGGTTGTATATTTGCCTACATTGAACTGTCTTTGCCATCTACTGGCAAAATAAGAGTTCTGTAGCTTCGTGGTTAGACCACTCGCCTCACAAGCGAGAGGCCCCAGGTTCGATTTCCAAGCAGGGCGAAACCTGAGGCAACTTTCCTTACTCCACACACCTCTGTTTACTTCATAGTAAGGAGGAAGCTGTTTGTTAGTCGATTGATGGATTGCTTTCTGGGGCTATTAATCCCTTCAAATAAAACAAATTGGTGACTCAATCCACGACTGTTTGTGGGACACTGCTGTGCGCAATTGGTTGCAACATTTTTCCTACAAAATATTCAGTCAATTCACTTTACAACATATTCTATGCAGTGTTTTGAGACGTCTCAACATGATAATGCGCTGTATCAAATGCGAGTATTTTTATTATTACTGCATCAAATTCCTAAAAGATTTCCATCTTGCTGAATCTGGCTATATTTATTTTACATTCAATTTTAATACCATGCAAATGTGCAATTTAGTTTCAATACTTTTTAAATTCTTTATTTTAACACTGACTCTGGTGAAACCGTACTCATAAGCCTTTTCCAACTTTAATTGGATTTGGACTGTACTCTGTTTTCTGTGTTTTTGAATCAATTTTTCACCAACAAACTTGTATCATGCTTTAAACTGAGCTATTTTCTGTAATTTTGTTGAAATTATTTTGAAAATCTATGTTTGTAACATTCATTGCCTTTTCTATGTCCACCACGCCAATAAGATTTTTCAAAAACACCCAAGTTGGTTAAGCATGACCTCCCTTTCCTGAATTCATGCTGGTTTTTCCTTATTAAGCTATGCTTTTCCAGATGTTTTCCCCACTGCTCTTAAACTTATTTTCAAGGTTTTTCTTTACAATTGATTTTAAACCTTCTGTACTTTCCAGGTGGGTTTCTTGACCTTTTATTGAAATAATTGAGTTGTGTTTACTATTTTCTGATCCTCAGGATATCTTTCACAATCCAGCAATTTAGAAAAAAGTATCATATAAAGCTTCGCTAATTTCTTCACTTCCTTCAAGAATCGTGGATATATGTTGTATGAAACCCATGTCATCCATATCAAGTATGAAACTTTTAAATAACATTTCCATTATCTTCATTGCTTAGCTCCTCTTCTCTGATAAGAATTGATGCCAAAATCGAACAAATCACTACCATCTTCTTTTGACAAATATGTAGAAAATGTTTAACAAATACTTTTGGCTTTTGCATACTTCATATTTATTTATGGAGCAAGTAAAGGTCTTAGTGTTAACTGAATGTTCACATTAACACATCCACATTGAGTGTCAACCTACCTCAGTGAGCAGCACTCTTTGAGACTTGAAAACAGAAGGTTGTGACTTCAAGCCCCACAATAGGATTTTGCCTTTACCACCTCAAGGCTGGACTATGGCAACTCTCTCCTCGCCGGCCTTCCCGGCACCTCCCTCCACAAGCTGCAGGCTATTCAGAACTCTGCAGCTCGTGTACTGTCCCGCACCAGACACCGCGACCACATCACTCCCACCCTCGCTCGCCTCCACTGGCTCCCCATCCCCCAGAGGATCGATTTCAAGATCCTCACCTACAAGGCCATTCACGGCCTTGCTCCCTCCTACCTCTCTGACCTACTATCCCCCTACTTACCTGCCCGTACCCTCCGTTCCTCTGGCTCCGGTCTGCTCCACATCCCCCGCCCCAACCGCCCTACCATCGGTGGCCGGGCCTTCAGCCTCTCAGCCCCTAGGCTCTGGAACTCTATCCCCCAGTGCCTTCGCCTTGCTTCCTCCCTTTCCTCCTTCAAGGCTGATCTCAAGACCTTTCTCTTTGACCGTGCCTTCAGCTCCCCTCTCGACTCTACCCCCTCCTCGCTCCCTCCCTTCCCTCCCCTCACGCTGACCATTTCCCCCCTGCTCGGGTCCTGACCCAACTGTACAGCACCTTGGGACGTCCTCCCGACATGAAAGGCGCTCTATAAATGGAATCTTGTTGTTGTTGAACTGATAATCTCGGTTGACACTCCAATTCATTGCATTGTCAGGGATGCCATCCTTTGGATGAGACTTTAAAACAAGGTCCTGCCCACCAGTTTTGTTGCCTAAAATATTGTCTATAAAGGTTCAATATTGACTAATGAATCGGTGAAACACTCTTTCTGTGAACTTTTTATGTAGTTTGCAATTTCCAGATGAATACCTTTTAATTAAGTGTAGAAAACAAGTTTCTGTTTAGATTTTATATTTCCTGATCCATTATTTTCTTCTTTCTACAATCAAAAACTGAAGTTGATTACATATTTTTATTTCACAAAATGAATTAATGTATATGATAAATCCATTCTGTTGGTCATAGTTGAACATTGCTGCCCTAATGCTGGAACCTATATAGGGAGCTGAATTTTCATAATTTATTGAAAGCAGAAGTCACATATGTGATTGAATTCTTCTTGAAAAGGTGATTGAAGACGCGGTCAAAGAGTAAGGTCTTGAGGCGTAGGGAACTTGAAGTTGGTGAAGGAAGGGGTGAGTTGTAGGGACTCCGGGTGCATTGAATTGATTCACTTTTATGCCCAACTCCAGAAATACTTCCAGATGGTTTCATCAATTCCAAAACCACTACTAGGAGGTGATTTTGCTGATTCAGGGAAAATACCCTGAATCAGCATTCAAATTATAGGGACTTATTACTCTCTATTCTTACAGAATGTTCCACTTAATTCTAGGGTCTGAATTCACATAACCCACCGAGAGTTTCTGGAGTACAGCTGGTTATATATTTTATATAGTCTGCATTGCAGTAAGAACGTTCTGGTATTTTTGTATAAACTAATATATGTTCTGCCTACCATGTTGCATCACCAGATAGATACGCTGAAAGGCTTGAAACTGAAATTCCCAATGTTAGTTATTCTTTTAATAACAACAAATTGGTCACTTCAATCCATGACTGTTTGTGGGACACTGCTGTGTGCAGTTGGCTGCTGAGTTTCGCCCACAAAATGTACAGTCAATTTACTTTACAGTATATTCTGTGAAGCGCTTTGAGACATCTCGAAGACATGATAAGGCGCTTTATTAAATGCAAGGATTATTATTTTTAAGGAAAACATTGCAGTATAGACTAATTATTTACAGCTTTATAGATCTGACTAAAATTAATATTGTTTTTATAAATCTTTAAACCTAATTTTATACTTTGTATATTGTGTTCCCTTGAACATTATGGAACATCACAGATGACCCTTGCTGGAGCTAGAGGAGGTAATAATAGATGCCAGGCTAATAATAGCATTTTTATGGAAGTCCTTAATAGTTGCCAGTGAAACACGATTGTAGCTCATAACAGGCTGTCTTTTAGACTAGTGAATTTAGCACAGTGTATGTGTATCCTGATAAACAAGAATATGAAGTTCTTTTATGCACACATCCGTTTTTTTTTATTATTAAATAACAATCCTTGCATTTGATATAAATTGCACCTTTCATGTCCAGTTGTGTTGAAACAGAGTTTTTGTGGGTCAGCATGGTCACCTTCCAGTTATCATCAAGATTCAATATTTATTTTTAGTTGCAGTTGCAAATGCTGCATTTGTAATCCCACTGTGTGGTGAAATTCTATATAAAATAATGCATGCCTTTGATATTCCGCTTTACCCTGTGTTTAATGTGTCAAAGCTCTTTGCAGGATTTACTGTAAAGTCTAGTGAATGTATTTGTAGGCAAATCTTGCAGTCAATTTGCGCACAGTACTGTCTCACAAACAGCTAAGATTTGCAATTGAAGGGGGGTAAATTCAGAGCATCTACGGAAATACTACTTCAGTAAGCGAGTAGTAAACTTATGGAACAGGTTCCCTAGGGAGAATGTGGAAGCAGAAAGTGTTATTTGTTTCAAGAACAAATTAGATGGATTTCCGCTAGAAAATAATATCTCGGGATACAGTATATAGTTTGGGACATGACATGTCAAGCGACTCCCAGGATGATGGAAGGCGAACTAGATGGACCTTGGTCTTCCTTCGTCTAGCAAATGCTTATGTTATAGCCGGTTTTATTTGGCGGGTTGTTTGAATAGTGCCATAGGATCTTTAATGTCCACCTGAGCAGACAAATTGAATCTATGGTTTCACGACTCATTCAAAGGATGGCACTTTATCAAATAATAATAATAAGCCTTGCATTTGATATAGTGCCTTATCACGTTGTTGAGACATCTCAAAGAGCTTCACAGAATATATTATAAAGTAGGAGTTACCATGTATCTTGCAGACGAAATGTGGCAACCAATTGCGCGCAGAACAAATGCAAGTATTATCACGTCTGTGAGATAGTGTGCAACAATGCAGCACACTAACAATACAATATAAAATTACATTCGTATAGCGGCTTTCACATCGAGTAACAGCTTACATTATGAACTCAAAGTCCCAATGTGGATTTGTATTGGTTTTGCAATTGGTTTTTCAAGACCATTGGATTGCTGTAGCATTGTATGTTAATATTATACTATATGAAGCATTGATAAGTTTATTGTAAAAGGTTGCAGTAGGACTGCGTATAAAGATCTGGTCTTTGTAGACGGGTAGAGTCTAAATGCAAGTTTATACTCTAAACTATATTATAGTACAATATTGGGACTTTTAGTGCTCATGGTAATTGATCTCTTGATACAGTTTCAATGAAAGCAGTTTCCTCTATTTTTATTGAGCATGTAGTAAAACTTCACAGATATTTAATAGAAAAATGATTTGGTTGTTGAAAGCTGTTTTAAAAGATTCAGCTGAATTTCAGAGAGTTCGTATTCATCCGCTGGCCTCTCAATTGCATGATTTTCAAATAAAACTTTTTTTCTCGCCAACTGGAAATGTAATTTCCACAACCATCTGAACATTGGGTTCTGGATGCCGTTTACTGAAAAAACACAGCAGTCAAAAATGTTCTCCTCTGGGGCTGATTCTGTTCATCTAGGAATATTGTATCTCTCTTTCCATGTATCTTTTACTTTTTTATCTTTTGCTTAATGCTGTATTTTAATGAAAAGAAACTCTTTGATTTTCTTTTGTGACAAAATATGATTGTAAATCATAACTATGGTCCTGTGACCTGTTGCTCTGTAACTACGATCTGCTGCTCTGTGCTTTCACCCACAGTCACACCCATCTACAGTATATCTTTAGAAGCACTTTGAGACGTCTCAGTGATAAGTCGCTATATTAAATGGATTATTATTTATTATGTTGGCCTTGAATGTACTACCTCGTTTCACCCATAGTCAATTCACTTTAAAGTATGTTCTGTGAAGCACTTTGAGATGTCTCGAAGAAGTGATACGGTGCTATATCAAATGCAAGCGTTATTATTATTATTGTCCACTGTGCTGTTCTCTTGAGTTACATTTGCCTGCAAAATACACAAAAAAATCTTATGAAGTTGTTTGAGACTTCCCACCTGATGTGAAGGGTGCTATATGAAATTCAGTGATTATTTACTTATTTTATTTCTTAAATAACTACTCAAGAATTTTAATTCTTAAATCATTTTACATTCAGATTATTTTCTGCCAGACAGAAATACTATGAAATACTTGCAATGCATTTAATTTTTTTCTCTCCACCAATTTTTTTTCTCTCTCTTTTCACCTGGGCTTTGACTTCATGGAAAACTTCCTTACCTCACCCACTTGGCTATAACACCTGTGTCAAACTTGGCACTGATTGTTGACAGCAATTTACCACGAAAAAGCTGCACAGTGAGTCAGTCCTGTTCTTCCACAAGGGAGGAAGATAACTCTTAGCCATAGTGATGCACACCCACCCAGAGCTTCGTGGTTCCCAGGTAGCGATCAGTTGTGGTTGATATTCTTTTTCCTCGCCTGCAGCACTGAGAGCAATTATTGTCACTATATCAGCATAGTTAGGAGTTTGAATTGGTTTTACATTTTTTAAAAATGCATGTATGTGTATCCCAAATATTTTTCTAAATTTCTTCCCCTTGACACATGTTTCACCCATAAAATACACATTCAATTTACTTTACAATAAATAATAACCATTGCATTTGATATAGCGCCTTATCATGTTTTC